TGTCCATCAGAGCGCTGAGGGGCGGGACTTCCTGTTGCAGACCGTCTGAACCGCGCTTCCATTGGCCGAATCCAGCGCAGTCTGCTGGCGTTGGCGTTGGACGCCCCGGTGATGGCCGACATTATGGGGCAGAGCCCAGGGGGCGGAGCCGAGCAGGTCCTGCACGGGGGAGGAGCCGGAGCCAATAGCTGCAACCGCTGGTTCGACAAAGCCCTGCAGGTGGGCGGGACTTCCGGTTTGGGGGGGCGGGACTTCCGGGGGTAGGGGGAGCTTCTGGGTGAAGGATCAGCGGGGTGGGATTTCTTGCTTTCCTCATTTAGGGCTCGGAAGGAGCGGGACTTCCTGTTTTAGTGCGTATGATAAGACTTCCTGTTTTGGTTTCTGTGTGGCCGGACTTCCTGTTTTAGTTTCTATGGGGCGGGACTTCCTTGGTTTTATGAGGTGGGATTTGCTCTTTTAGTCTCTAGGGGGTGAGACTTCCTGTATTGGTTTTTGTGAGGTGGGACTTCCTGTTTTAGCCTCTATGGGCAAGACTTCCTCTTTTAGCCTCTATGGCATGGGACTTCCGGTATTAGTCTCTGAGGTGGGACTTCCTGTTTTAGCCTCTATGGGGCGGGACTTCCTCCTTTAGCCTGTATGGGGCAGGACTTCCTTAGTTTTATGAGGTGTGACTTCCTGTTTTAGCCTCTATGGGGTGTGACTTCCTGTTTTAGTCTCTATGGGGCAGGACTTCCTGTTTTAGTCTCTACGGGGCGGGACTTCCTGTTTTAGCCTCTATGGGGCGGGACTTGCTTTATTAGTCCTTATGAGATGTGACTTCCTGTTTTAGCCTCTGTGGGGCGGGACTTCCTGATTTATCTTATACAGCAGCGAGATTTGTCTATACAAGCGGGCGGGACTTCCTGCTTTGAGCTCTTACGGATGCAGCACTTCCTGTTTCTGTCTCTAGAGGGGCAGGACTTCCTTTGGCCATATGAAGGGGTGGGACTTCCTGCTTTGGTCTCAAGAGGCAGGACTTCCTTCTTGGACCTCTTACAGACGCAGGACTTCCTGTTTTAGTTTCTAGAAGGGCGGGACTTCGTTTGCCTCTACGATTGGGCGGGACTTCCTGCTTCAGGCTGCGAAGGGGCGGGACTTCCTGTTTTCCCCCTTCTAGGTGATTGTGGGTGCAGACGGTTCCTGTGGTCTCCTGTACGACCCGGAAGTCCTCGATGGCGCCGTGGCTGCAGAAATGGCCGACCACGCGCTCTCCTTCTGGTCAGTCCCTATGGAAACCCTATAGGATCCCCTATAGAGGCCCTATAGAGCCCCCGTAGGGTCCCTATAGAGTCCCCACGGCGTCCCTATGGAGTTTGTATGGCATCCGTATTGTGGCCCTATAGAGTTTCTATGGAGTACCTATGGATTCTGTATGGAGTCCCTATGGATTCTTTATAGCGTCCCTATAGATTCCCTATGGATTTTTTATAGGGTTCCTATAGATTCTCTATAGAGTCTCTATGGATTCTTTATAGTGTTCCTATAGGTTTTTTATAGAGTCCCTATGGATTCTGTACAGCGTTCCTACAGATTTTCTATGGAGTCCTTATAGATTCTGTATAGCGTTCTTATAGATTCTCTATGCAGTTCCTATGGATTCTTTATAGTGTCCCTATAGATTCTGTATACAGTCTCTATGGATTCTTTATAGTGTTCCTATAGGTTCTCTATAGAGTTCCTATGGATTTTTTATAGTGTTCTTATAGATTCTCTATAGAGTCTCTATGGATTCTTTATAGCGTTCCTATAGATTCTCTATAGAGACCTTATGGATTCTTTGTAGCGTTCTTATAGATGTTCTATAGAGTCTATAGATTCTTTGTAGTGTTTCTATAGATTCTCTGTAGAGTCTGTATGGATTCTTTATGGTGTTCCTATAGACTCTCCATAGAGTCCCTATGGATTCTTTATAGCGTCCCTATAGATTCTCTATAGAGTCTCTATGGATTCTTTATAGTGTTCCTATGGATTCTCTATAGAGTCTGTATGGATTCTTTATAGTGTTCCTATAGATTCTCCATAGAGTCCCTATGGATTCTTTGTAGCGTCCCTATAGATTCTGT